TTACTCGATTCCAACTACTGCTAACCTGTATTTGAAGCTACGAGGTCAACAGGTACGACTATCATGGAGCGTCAGCGACGACGGCCTGAACGCACAGGTGCCGACCGACGCGTCAAGCTGCGGAGTGAACGTCGGTATCGACAACCAACTGACCTTGGGCAATGAACTAGCCAAGTCAGTGGCATCACGTAGGCAGGCTCGAATCATCATAAGAGATAAGGCGAGAGTTAAGATTGCAGTTAGGATGATTTAGAATTAAGACATTAATTAGGACGGTTTAGTCACTAATCTAGTTGTGGCAAGTTTCATAGTGTAAAGTTATTTGTGTGGTTTTGTACATTTGCAGATATTTTAGAGTCCCGTTTTTTTTTCTCTGATAAATGTTTGTTCTGTTTTCGAGTCTGACTGAGTCCATCGCACCGGGGCCACACCCCGTAATCTGTGACAGTTGGCGAGCCTGCCAGGATTGTACTTGGCATGCGCTGGCGACGGGAGCGATGGGCGTTTAGGTCAGCTGCCTGAGACGTGGCCGTCTCAAGGTGGCCGGCGAAATCGGCAGTGATCGAAAGGAGGCTCTTCGGATAAGCAGCCGCCACGCCCAGCGAGGACGAGCGCTCCCGGAGCAAGCCCCTTTTCGGAAGCGAGCCACCCAAGGCCATCCCCGAAGTGCCACGTCAACACTGGAACGCCACGCCGGGTGAAGCAGTCGACAGTACTAGTAGCCCGAAAGGGACCTACGAGCGTCAGCGACAATGGCCTGCACGCACAGGCGCCGACGGACGCGTTGAGCTGCGGAGTGAACGTCGGGATCGACGACGGACTGCACTTGGGCAACAAGCTAGCCAAGTCAGGGGCCTCACAAAGGCCGGCCCGAACCACCATAAGAGATAAGGCGAGAGTTATGACTGCAGTTGGGACGATTGAGAGTCAAGACATTAATTAGGATGGTTTAGTTTCTCTGTTATGAGACAAGAGCTCGCCGACCGCCTTAAAAAAGTCAAGACGCCGTGGAGTGGGCCTAGCATAAGGAGTGCTGGTGGACAGCTAAAGACGCCAACTAGTAAATCCACCGCTCGGCTCGTAATCGATGATTCGAACTTCGTCGCCACTTTTGTCATTTTACCGGACTGTTGTAAAGAGTTGATTTTGGGTATGGATTTTCTGCGAGAGTGCGGTGCTGTCATCAACATTCCAGAACGTATCGTCACCTATTCCGCCCATCCTTACGTCGACGCCATCACTGAACAACAGCTGCAATGTTTACATGTAGCCGATGATCTGATGCTCCTGCCGAGATGTTGCTGCCTTGTGTCGGTGTTATGTGAACGGCCGTGCCGTAATGAGGTGATAGCGGAGCGAATAGACACGCTATTGCTTACGCAAGGTGTTTCAATAGCGAGAGGCGTTCTGGCACTAATTGATGGGCGGGCAGAAGTGCTCATCACCAACTTCAGCAACGAGCGTCGTCACATCCAGAAGGGCACCGCGATTGCCTACTACGACGACGTGGACCAAGCCATAGATTGCTTCGCTTTGCAACCGGACGAGGCGACCATCCCAGCCTCGACACCTTTGTCTGTGAACAATTTGCTCAACCCTGTCAGCCTTGGATAAACAGCGCCTACTAGAGCTGATACACCAGTTCAAAAATTGTTTTTCGTGCACGTCGAAAGTCAAGCAAACAATACTGACCCGGCACCGAATCATCGTTGAAGAAAATACGAGACCGATCCGTCAAAACCCATACCGTGTGGCTCCGAAAGAACGTGAGGAGATCCAAAAGCAAGTTCAGAAGATGCTCCAAGATGACGTAATACAGCCTTCCAAGAGTCCCTGGGCATCCCCCGTGGTATTGGTTAAAAAGAAAGACGGCAGCTTGCGTTTCTGTATAGATTACCGCAAGTTAAATCAAGTAACGAAGAAAGACGTCTACTCACTGCCATGCATAGATGACTCTCTTGATTGGCGGCGGCATGCACGCTATTTCTCATCGATGGACCTGCGAAGTGGCTATTGACAAATAGAGGTCGACGAGAGCGACCTTGAGAAAACTGCTTTCGTGACGCCCGACGGTCTTTATGAATTTAAAGTGCTTCCATTCGGGTTATGCTCAGCGCCAGCCATTTTTCAGCGTTTAATGGACACTGTGCTATCAGGACTGAAGTGGCAGACATGCTTGGTCTATCTAGACGACGTTGTCGTCTTCTCTGCTACATTCAAGGAACACGTAAGTCGATTATTCGCAGTTCTACAAGCTATATGTTCGGCTGGCCTGACTTTAAAACCAGAGAAGTGCCATTTCGGTTTCAGCGAACTTTGCTTCTTAGGCCACGTGGTCAGCCACAAAGGTGTTCGACCTGACCCGGGCAAAATCGACGTTGTCGCAAAGTTTCCTGCACCGCATGACAAAAGAGCAGTGAGACGCTTCTTAGGCCTCTGCGCTTATTACCGACGATTCATCGCCAACTTTTCGTCTATTGCGGCGTCTCTGACGCGGCTCACACGAGAGGATGTCCCCTTTCTTTGGAGCAAAAAGGAACAAGCAGCGTTCAACGAATTACGCCAACGCCTCCAAACACCTCCGGTTCTTGCGCACTTTGACCAGGAAACGCGAACAGCACTTCACACCGACGCAAGCAATGTAGGCCTGGGTGCCGTATTGATACAATGGCAAGATAACTCCGAGAAATTGATAGCCTATGCCAGCAGAGCTCTCTCTCGCGCGGAAGAGAACTACTCGACTAGCGAGAAAGAGTGCCTCGCCGTGGTTTGGGTGGTTCTCAAATTTCGACCCAATCTGTACGGCCGCTCATTAAAGGTCGTCAGTGATCACCACTCGCTTTGCTGGCTCACTAACTTGAAAGACCCATTCGGCCGTTTAGCTCACTAGAGCCTTCGGCTTCAGGAGTTTGATATGACCATTATTTATAAATCAGGGAAGAAGCACACCGACGCAGACTGTCCCTCGCGGTCACCCGTCGAGCCTGCCGCTATTAATGACGAGTCTATGGACGCCGCATTCTTAGGAGTCATCAACGCGGCCACTATTTCACAAGAGCAGCGCAGTGACCCTGACCTGCTTTCACTTATCGACTTCTTAGAAGGACGACGTGAAGACGTGCCGCGAGTTTTTACAAGAGGAGTGCCATCTTTTTGTTAAGGAACGACGTCCTATACAAGAAAAACTTTTCTCCCACCGGCAACCCATACTTGCTCGTCGTCCCTGCATCACTGCGAAAAGAAATTCTGGAAGCCTGCCATGATGAAGTCTCCTCCGGTCATCTCGGTTACACTCGAACATTGTCCCGTCTGCAAAACAGTTACTACTGGCCGAACCTACCTGCTGCTGTGAAACATCACGTCCAAACATGTGCCGACTGTCAAAGACACAAAGCGCCACCCGGCAGGCTTATTACATTCCATTCAAGTACCAGCAAAGCCATTCGCCAAAATCGGAATGGATTTTCTGGGCCCATTTCCCAACTTCTACCACCAGGAACAGATGTATCATTGTTGCCACCGATTACTTGTCTCGCTATGCAGAAACTAAAGCCATGCCGAGGGCCACAGCAGCAGAAGCGGCTCATTTTTTCATAGAAAAAGGCGTCCTTCGGCACAGTGCTCCAACTTTCCTCATCACGGATAGAGGAACTGCGTTCGTGGCAGAACTTTTGGAGTCGGTTCTCAGGCTCAGCAGTACAGCTCACCGGAGAACAACGACGTACCACCCACAAACGAACGGACTAACAGAGCGGCTTAATAAGACCCTCGCAGACATGCTCTGCATGTATGTCGACACAGAACACAAGAACTGGGACAAAATCTTGCCTTATGTGACCTTTGCCTATAATACTGCCCGGCAGGAAACTACCGGAATGACGCCTGTTTAGTTTAATACACGGGCGCAAAGTCACTACAACGTTAGACGCTATGCTGCCGCATGAGTGTGACGACACTCACGCTGACTCCGTAGAATTTGGTCAGCGCGCCGAAGAAGCCAGACAGCTAGCCCGTGTGCGTATTTGTCACCAGCAACACAAAGATGCAAAACGGTACGACCTACAACATAAATTGGTAACCTACAAACCAGGCAACAAGGTATGGGTCTGGATCCCAATACATTGACGCGGACTTTCAGAAAAGCTATTACGACAATACTTCGGCCCATATCGAGTCACCCGACGATTGAACGATATCAACTATGAAGTTATTCCGGGCGGCGATTGCAGTTCCAGTCGCCGATACTGCTCACCCGAGATCGTGCATGTCATCCGGATGAAACCCTACTTGTCCAGCTAACTCTCGTTTGTCCTGTGTGTGCCGGTGCATATGTGCGTTTTTATGAGTAGAGCGCCTTGACTGCGCATCGGGACGATGCCATTTTTGGAGGGAGGCAAATGTCACGTGCACCCCGCCAAAAAGACGAAGGCGACAGCGCATCTGCACGCTTTTATGCAAAACGCAACAACAAGAAAGACGAGGAACTCTCTCGCGCGCGTGCGGTTAATAAAAAGACCGACCCGCTGCTGTTTTCTCAGCGTCTTCAAGTACGACCTCTGTCTTCACGTCGCGACAATGTATTTCGAAAGAACATTTCAGTGTGAAAAATTTGCTATGCTGCAGTGTCTGTTGCAGTACTTTCAGACTGGCAAAAACTATTTCCCTGAGACATATAAAAAAGAACCATTTTTGTACATGAAACAAAAAAAGTTAGCAAGTGTGCTAAATCAGTAAAATTGATTATCAATATGGCCAAACCCATGCCTTATCGATTGTTCATGTGTGTTGGTGAATAAGAAACCTCTAGTGCTATAACGCCAGTGGTATTACAGCACTAAATAAATACAGTGTAAACTGCAGCAATGGGGGGAAGTGTGTTTCCTAAAATAAGGAAAAATTGTGACAAAGACTTACGTCATGTTAATCGACATATACACAGAAGGGCTGCAACCATTCTTGCTTGCCTGGTGCTGCAGTCTATTCTCTCTGTTGCTTTTCAGGCTCCTCGTCCTTAGAGTCCCTTGAGGAATGCAAGTCGCCAATGCCTGTACAAGACGGACTGCATTCCTGCTGGCAGTGCACGTATGTGAGCAAGAAAAAGTCAAACATGAACAGACACCTTCGCATACACACAGGCCAACGCCCCTTTGAGTGCCACCTGTTCCCGGCTACATACAATGACAATTCCAGCCTGAAAAGGCACGTTCGTGCCCACAGTGGAAAGCATTCGTTTTCCTGTGCCCTCTGCAGTTCATCCTTTTCGCAAAGAGATAGACTCGAAGCACTCATGCGCACCCACACAGGAGAGCGTCCCTTTTCTTGTGCACCCTGCGATGCATCCTTTGCACTAAAAAATACTCTTAGCCACATGCGAATCCACACAGGAGAGCGCCCCTTTATTTGTGCACACTGCAATGCTTCCTTTGCGCGCCAAAGTACTCTTAAAGGCCACATACGCATTCACACAGGAGAGCGGCCTTTCTCGTGTTCACACTGCAGTACATCCTTTACTTCAAAACGTAACCTAAAAAGACACATGACCACCCACACAGGAAAGCACCCATTTTCTTGCGCTCACTGCGATGCATCCTTTTCGCGCAGAGAGAGGCTCAAAGAACACGTGCACCCACACAGAATAGCGCCCATTTTCTTGTGCACACTGCGGTGAATCTTTTGCACTCAAAAATACTCTTTAAAGGCCACATGCGAGTCCACACAGGAGAGTTCCCCTTTATTTGTGCACACTGCAATGCATCTTTTAGATACCGAAAAAGCCTCTATAATCATATGTCCGTACACACAAAAGGAGGGTGCCCCTCTTTTTGAGCCTACTGCGGTGCATTCCTTACACATACAAGCCACTTTATTTGCCACATGTCTAATTGTCATACAAACAAGAAGCCATAAAGGATTGGAGCTGACAGGCTTCTTGCTCCGAAAGAAGCCCTGCAACGCTTTTATGCATTGCAAGACCCCTTTAAGAAAAAGAAAAAATGGTTGCAGTGCTGGGGCTAGGTCGATGCAGAAAACACGTCAAACACACAAGCAAAAATGTTGGCAAATTAATGTTTAGTTAATGAATAACAATAAAATATTGACAGATTAATGCTTTGTGCATTATATTTCTTGCCATATCTCTAGCTTTTCAGAGATCAGGTGTTATTTTCGAAGCTATTGCCAGATGCTGGAAATAAAGGTAATCAGAAAAAAAAATTTGCAGGCCTGCGCAGAAAGTGCAGCACAGTCACTGTGAAAGTATGGAGCCATGGGGAGCCATTGAAATCAGTTTTTTTTTTTTTTATTGTGGGATTTCCCAGACAAACCCGTTCTTTCTTTATTGTTGCGGCCTCTTGAAGTGGTGTTTGAGCTGGTTACATGCAGGATACGTCCCTGTGAGAGGTGTGTGGTGATTGGCAACGCTCTCTGACATCAGTGGGATAGTGAAATGCGAAAGGGGGCGCTTCTTCTCGTCGTCTGTTGGGTTTTGAAAATTGTAGGCTAATAACATTACTTCCGTTACCGTGTACCGATTGCGTTTACAGTTGAACCCCTTTAAGGAGGCATGCTCTAGGCAGATTTTTTGAATGTTTTTCCTTTCAAATCTTTTGGATGTTTTTTTTTCTTCGTTTCATTTCATTAATAAAAGCATGCCCCCAAGTCGAAGAAGCGGCTATTCGGTTTTAGTACGCATAGGTTTCTGTGATGGGCTCATCGCTGAAGGCCTTGGCGCCGGAACGCTCACTGTGAAGCAGCTATGTCATGTTACACATATGCCTACCGCTTTTCAGGCTTGACTGTTGAAAAAAATTAAACATGATGGTGTATCGTATTTGTTGTCTAATTCGTTCTGCAAGAATGGAAGCTGCGTTTCTCAAAGAGCGCAGTCGCTTGTGCATGATATCTCGACGCATTATGAGACTGCTCTTAAACTTTCTGTGCTATCAGCGTCCACTTTGCATTTAGAACACTCGCAGCACGAAAACCGCTTCTGCTTCCGGAGTAGTCCCTTCAACCAGCAATCTGCGCCAAGGAACGGTCGCTTCCGGCAAATACGAATTACTTTAAGGCCCAACCACACGCACGCGATTTTAGAGTGATGGCAACAGGATTTGTTTGCCATTGCCATGGCTGTCGCGAAAGGCCATTTGTCACCATCGCGTTTCATGTTTCTGGAAAACTATAAAAAAATCCTTGTAGCCCAAAAAGTAGCGTGACAATTTCTGTAACTTAGTATAGCACCCTCGATTCTGGCTTCGTTTTGAATTCATTCTTCACGCTTGTTAAAAGAGCGTACTTCAAGAAATTCAAGATATAGGCTACCTTTCCTACTGTCACTTGTCATGCCGACAGCAAGGCGGAGGCCACATTTTGTCACTAGTCTTGTCATTGACATTATATATATATATATATTTATATATATATATATATATATATATATATATATATATATATATATATATATATATTGCGCTTGGGTAGTAGCTTGCTGAAATTCGCCTACTTGCTGCAATGTCAATGCGTCATGGTGCAAGGTTGCCACAGTGTTGGGAAAATACGACGTAGCGCACGCTTCTGGGTGCCTCTCGAGATTATAGCAGATACCACCGTTGTGATATACCACCGTTGTGAGAAAGGGAAACCGCGACGCGCTTTTATGGATTGCGCGGGCGGTGTGGGGACAGCTTGCAGCACAGTCAACGACAGCACAGATTTATAAGACGTTACTGACGTTACTGAAAAAAGTACTACGACTAATCAAAGGATACTACGGTCACCCACAAGATCTTAGCACACGTCTCTTATTTTCGAAATATTTCATATTACGAGCAAACCAAGTATATTATTACAAGTTATTTTTGTACATTAAAAATAACAAACTATAGCCCACGTATGATTCTCCTCGGTGTGTTGAATACTGCCTCCGTACGCCTGGCATAAGAACACCGAGAGCTTGGACCACCCATGGTCAGCAACATACTGACTATCAAATACCCAGTCTCTTCAATAAACTTGTAATTATAGTTGATTTAAATAAAGAAAATTCCAAAAATAAATTCACAAAGTTCTTCATAATTGCCTTGAACATGTTTAATATAAATATTTTGGTGAGTTATTACTTAATGTGTCCTAATTGTTAACAGTACAGTTTCACTCTTGTTGCTTGCTTTACAAATGTATATGCCTGCATATGTGTTTTCATCTCACCTATTCTACATATTGCCATTATGTTTTATTTAATGGAATTTTTGTCTTCAATTTCTGCATATTGTTCCATTCCTTTTTCACATGTGTAGCATTTATTTGTCTGATTATAATTTGCCGATTTTCTGTCTCTGTATAAAAAGTTGTTTTATCTGCGTCTAAGTTGTGTACCACACTGTATTTCGGAGCAAAAGCCTTCGTCAGGCTTTACAGCCTTTTGCTCTTACTTAGAGTTTTTTTCTATGTATAGAAAAATAAAATAGACCTCATACCTCAATGTACCATCATCAACTACTGAAGATGTGTTTATAGTGTACGTACGAAACATCTACCTAACTATTTTTTTATTGCCACATTTTTGCTCATCCACCAAAAAATTCATTAAATTTTTCCATGTATAATAAACTCACCGCCTTTTTTGCTTCAATTGTTAGGTAAAAATAGTGCATTTATAACGTGAGTAAGTACTATGTATCCTTTTAACAATTGCCTTTCCACTATAAGGATGGTAATTCTCCATTCCTACATAGTCATCTTCAAGCCAGACAACTTGTGATGTTCCATTGCTTTAGTCTGCCCTTCATTTCACATGGCATTTTTCCCCTTCTTCGTCTCTCGCACTTGCTAATTGGCAACAAATCACAAATGTGCTCCATCTTACAAAGCCGAATTCTCCTCGTTAACATATATGTGAGCAGACGCCTACTGAAAATGCCATCATTTCAACATTCGCACATAACCTTTTTTCACTGCTTTCTTTTTTAAACAGCCAAACTTGAAACTGCACAGGGCTCATTTTCATTGTATTCAGACATATCTTCATGACAAGTTTGCACTGCATGATTAGCGCACGTGGCTGACCTCAAGCACAGTTTGTTGTTCATTGATATGGTTCGATTGACGTTTGCATTCTACATTTTGCTGCATCGCAGTACTGAAGCTTCTCGGTTCTATATCTCACTATACTTCCGCACTCAAATTTGTATTTCCCTGAACTTGGTATTAGTTAGAAACAAACATAGTAGCTCAATGTGGCAATACTAAAAGTTCAAACATAATTTCAAGAGTTCCATTGCATAAAGTTTTGGTGGAAGGGTAAAAGAATGTTTGGTGTACTGTGAAAATTTGTGCTTGCCTTAACAGTATCTATTATTTTACAGGTGCACCATTTTTGCCAAGCACCCAAGAAGCTGCTTACTTCTGACACCACCATAAATGCATTGATAGTGTTTTTTCTGTTACGTTACCACATGTATTTTAGTTTGTGAAAGCAATGTGTAATTTTTTACTGGCTGCGACCTCTGATTGGTTATGCAAAGTTATACTGTCTGTATATTTTTGGACATTAAGACATCATGTATAATAATATAAAAAGCAGGGCATTTTACTATGGTGTCTACATTTCTGCGATCAGCATAAACAAGCTCTGAATGCCTATTCAAAACATTGCTTCAGACTTGGTATTTCGCAAAGTGCAATCTCGTCTCTGTTGAACAGTGGATGTGTTTATGCGAGTTCAGCTTAGCAGAAAAACATTTGTAAGTTGCTTACCACGAAACTTGCTTACCACGAAACTTAGCTTTTGCGTTGGAGTACATTAGCTATAATTTCCAATTAACTTTAGAGAGAAAATCTCTTGTTACTTTGTGAATTAGTACACTCATCACTCTGTTTTTGTATTATACTTTCAAAGCAACTACATCTTGAAATATAGCATCGACCGATACCTTGTTTTAAGTGAAGTGTTGCTTGAGGAACTTAAATCTTCTTGAATGCATGATTATGTGTTGCTATATTTTCTCCAGTCATAAAAAATTGCACGATTTGACTTGGATAAATTTTGGTTGTCAAACTTCTCGCAATGTGCTATGTTAGAGGCCATGCTTGTTGGGGTAAATTGTCTGCGCAAGCCTGTTGAGAAGGGTAGCTAACTGCAATCATGTTAGTTAAGTGAAGCTGTGGTGCGTTCCGTGCCCTAGCTATCAAGGTGAACACTCGTGTAATGGAAGCTAGAATAGTTTGCCATAGAGAAGGGGTCTCAAACACGTGGAATAAAGAACTTGCGCAGCCCACAGACTTACACAAGAAGTTCTGTAGCCTGCATGTTTGTTTCATTTTCTCAATAAGTACGTCCATGAGCTACACAAAGATGAGAGGTCTCGGGCATTTTTTTGAGTGTCGGTCTATTAAATCGCCATGTGCCAACTACCAAAACTGAGAAATTCAACATTTCAGAATCCGCGTCGATATCCGTCACCCTGAAAATCGGTATCGGTGTTTTTCGAAGGATCTCTCTCCAAAAACCCTTGAAATACACTCAAACCTCATTATAACAATGTTGCATTTTACACGAAAATAAGCTCGTTATATCCGAAAATATTTTATAAAGGTTCATTTGTAACACTATACTCATTGCAGTACTATTTTTCATTTATTTTTTTATCATTACTATTTTGTTATATCTTGGTTCGTTATATCGAGGTGAAGTGTATCAGCCAGATATGACATCTTTCCTGCCTCAGCTCATGCTTTACTTTAAGAAGTGTGGCCCGTTCGCTCTAGTGAGTCTAAGACACATGCGATAGGGCATTGTATATATAGATTGCTTTTTCTTATGCATTCAAAATATATTTGTTCGTTTTGCTGTTTTAGCACACTTGTTAAAAATATGGAGACAAACATGGCAAGAAACATTCTTTTTTTCTGCCTTGTTTGACAAGCGTGCTAAACTAATTAAATGCTAACCAACGTGGCCATACCCACACCCTGTCAATTCTTCATGTGCCTAGGTAAATAGGGAACTTTTGTGCTTTAGTGCCCTACGAGGTGATGCAGATAAATAATAAATAAATGCAGTATAACCTGGAGCAATAAAATGGAGACTGTTTTCTCAAATCAGGCAAAATTGTGACAAAGACCTATTGAATGCTAGTGGACACACTGTATACTTTTCATAGAAGTGCAGCAACTATTCCTGCTTGTGTGGTGCTGCAATCTACTTTTATGTGGTGAGAGACTCGTAGTTTGCATTGCCTTCCTGTTCACCATGTTGTTTTGCAGGCTCTTTGTCTTTCGAGTGTCTTAAGGAAGAGTCACTCACGGCTGTACAAGACGGACTGCATTCGTGCCGGCTGTGCACTTATGTGACCAAGGACAGGGCAAACATGGAGACACACCTTCGCATACACACGGGCGAGTTCCTCTTTGAGTGCCACCTTTGTCCAGCCACATTCAGTGACAGCTTCTATTTGAGAAAGCATGTTGGCGCAACACATGATTATGTGTTGCTATATTTTCTCCAGCCAGTAAAAAATTGCATGATTTTGACTTGGATAAATTTTGGTTGTCCAACTTCTCGCAATGTGCTATGTTAGAGGCCATGCTTGTTGGGGTAAATTGTCTGCGCAAGCCTGTTGAGAAGGGTAGCTAACTGCAATCATGTTAGTTAAGTGAAGCTGTGGTGCGTTCCGTGCCCTAGCTATCAAGGTGAACACTCGTGTAATGGAAGCTAGAATAGTTTGCCATAGAGAAGGGGTCTCAAACACGTGGAATAAAGAACTTGCGCAGCCCACAGACTTACACAAGAAGTTCTGTAGCCTGCATGTTTGTTTCACTTTCTCAATAAGTACGTCCATGAGCTACACAAAGATGAGAGGTCTCGGGCATTTTTTTGAGTGTCGGTCTATTAAATCGCCATGTGCCAACTACCAAAACTGAGAAATTCAACATTTCAGAATCCGCGTCGATATCCGTCACCCTGAAAATCGGTATCAGTGTTTTTCAAATGATCTCTCTCCAAAAACCCTTGAAATACACTCAAACCTCATTATAACAATGTTGCATTTTACACGAAAATAAGCTCGTTATATCCGAAAATATTTTATAAAGGTTCATTTGTGACACTATACCCATTGCTGTACTATTTTTCATTTATTTTTTATCATTACTATTTTGTTATATCTTGGTTCGTTATATCGAGGTGAAGTGTATCAGCCAGATATGACATCTTTCCTGCCTCAGCTCATGCTTTACTTTATGAAGTGTGGCCCGTTCGCTCTAGTGAGTCTAAGACACATGCGATAGGGCATTGTATATATAGATTGCTTTTTTTTATGCATCAAAATTATTTGTTCGTTTTGCTGTTTTAGCACACTTGTTAAAAATATGGAGACAAACATGGCAAGAAACATTCTTTTTTTCTGCCTTGTTTGACAAGCGTGCTAAACTAATTAAATGCTAACCAACATGGCCATACCCACACCCTGTGAATTCTTCATGTGCCTAGGTAAATAGCGAACTTTTGTACTTTAGTGCCCTACGAGGTGATGCAGATAAATAATAAATAAATGCAGTATAACCTGGAGCAATAAAATGGAGAGTGTTTTCTCAAATCAGGCAAAATTGTGACAAAGACCTATTGAATGCTAGTGGACACATGTATACTTTTCATAGAAGTGCGGCAACCATTCTTGCTTGCGTGGTGCTGCAATCTACTTTTATGTGGTGAGAGACTTGTAGTTTGCATTGCCTTCCTGTTCACCATGTTGTTTTGCAGGCTCTTTGTCTTTCGAGTGTCTTAAGGAAGAGTCACTCACGGCTGTACAAGACGGACTGCATTCGTGCCGGCAGTGCACTTATGTGACCAAGGACAGGGCAAACATGGAGACACACCTTCGCATACACACGAGCGAGTTCCTCTTTGAGTGCCACCTTTGTCCAGCCACATTCAGTGACAGCTTCTATTTGAGAAAGCATGTTGGCGCTCACACGGCAAAACGTTCCTTTTCCTGTGCGCACTGCAGTGCATCATTTTCAGTCAAATTCAACCTCCAAAGACACATGACCATCCACACAAAAGAGCGCCCCTTTTCCTGTGCTCACTGCGATATATCCTTTTCGCGAAAATATAGACTCAAAGAACATATGCGCATCCACACAAACGAGCGCCCCTTTTCCTGTGTCCACTGCAATGCTTCCTTTGTGCGCAAACAGAGCCTCAAAGACCATATGCCCATACACGCAGGAAGGCGCCCCTATCCCTGTGCCTACTGCAATGCATCCTTTACAAGGTCAAGTGTCCTTATGCGCCACATGTATAATTGGCACCAAAACGAGAAGCCATAAAGGTTTGGAGCAGACAGGCTTCTCGCTCTTAAAGACGCTCTGCAACTCTTTTATGCATCGCAAGGCCCCTTGAAGAGAGAGAAAAATGATTGCAGTGCTGGGGCGAGGTCGATGAAGTGAACGGGACGTCAAACACACAAGCGAAAATAGAGATGCTCAGTAATTCAATAAAATGTTGACAGATTGATGCTTTGTGCATTGTATTTTTTTGCCACACCTCTTTCCAGAGATCAGGTGGTATTTTGAAGCGATTGCCAGGTGCCAGAAATTGTGGTGATCAGAAAAGAAATTCTAGGCTGGCCTGCGCAATAAGTGCAGCAAAGCTAGCACAGCCACAATAAATGTAACGGGCCTCAGGGAGCCTGCAAAGTCAGTATTCTGTATTGCGGGATCTTTCTTTATTGTTGCAGCCTCTTGAAGTGGTGTTTGAGCTGGCTACATTCTATTCGCGGCACTTTCGGATGCTAGAGAACATACTAGTAAAAGTTGGGGCATTTCCCACAGAACTTCATCTAAAGTGGCTAAAGCTCCAAGGAGCCACCTTAACATTGCTTCGTGCATGCGATTCGTGTAGGAGTGGTGTTTCTCTCCACATTATTAGAAGCTAGGGCGTTGCAAATTTGGCGGTGGGGAGCAAATCCGTGGTATAGGTGTCCCGACATGGATGTTCTGGGACTCGGGACGTTGCATGAAAAGTCTGGAGGGTCCAGAGAAATCCGGGATGGTTGGTAACACTAGTCACAACACTTCTTAACACATGCTAGTGTAATTTTGCTTCTACACTGATAGCACATGTTCGCATATGGTATTTTATTCCACATTTAGCGGCCTTTCTTTGAACGCCGAAAAGAATCGCCACCTTAATGTTGCGTTGTGATCGGTGCGCATCAAGCCTAGTTCGATATATTTTAAAAACTAAGAAACCTGGAGACTTACAAAGAGGGTTCAGCTTAAATTGAGGACGACGCAGCGAGCAGTGGAAAGAAAAATGGTAGGTGTAACCTTAAGAGACAAGAAGAGAGCAGAGTGGATTAGGGAACAAACGGGGGTTAAGGATATTATAGCTGAAATCAAGAAGAAGAAATGGACATGGGCAGGGCATGTAGCACGTAGACAGGATAACCGCTGGTCATTAAGGGTAACTGACTGGATTCCCAGAGAAGGAAAGCGGGTTAGGGGGAGACAGAAGGTTAGGTGGGCAGATGAGATTAAGAAGTTCGCGGGTATAAATTGGCAGCAGCAAGCACATGACCGGGTTAACTGGCGGAACATGGGAGAGGCCTTTGTCCTGCAGTGGACGTAGTCAGGCTGATGATGATGATGAAGAAGGACTGAAAAAAAAAAGATACATTGTTATCGAAGGCAGTTAAAAAAAAGGCTCCACCACACGCTTTATGATGTTGCAAAAAAGCCAGCTTTAGGTAGAACAGCAATCAAGCAGTAAGATTTGAGAAAAAAAGAAAAAAATCAAGAAACGGCGTGAAACAAAGGGTGGGCGCATTCACTGGCTCATCAATAGGTAACCATTTTTGAAAAGGCAATGTAGTATTGCCATCAATATGGAGACGAGCGCATGAATTCTTAAAACGTTGCACGCGTTTTTCAGAAGCGTTTTTGTTCTTCCTTTAAGGAATAGCGCAAGGGTTAACAATGCCCTTATCAAGCAGGAAGATCGTTGCTTTAAGAATATTGGGCACGACACCGGCAATCTGAGCAATATGCGGAATCGAGACCTGGCTACCGCCACGATGGTTGGAGTGCTGACCCGTAGGTTGAGGAATCGGATCAAGGCCGGCGTTTCGATGAAGGAGACATGCTATGGTAAGAGAGACCGTGTACTCAGATGTAGGTGCACGTTAAAGGGGCCCCTGGGATAGAAATTGCCGGAGCCCTCGAGCAAATTACAGCGCGGCGTGCTGGGGCGCTGTAACTGCTAATGCTAAAACAATTAACTGCTAATGGATAAACCTGCATGCATATGTGGACACGGCCATGCATGTAATATTATAGTGTACTAGAATATTCTAGTACACTATAGTGATATGTATACATAGTGTTCGTGTGATGTCACTTCTGCCGTTGTCGCCCTCGCCCACCCTGCCCGGGTACCATCTCTGGGTAGCTACAGCAGTTCGCGTGCTGCAGCGCGGTTTGTTGGGGGCTCGTCATCTGTTGCTGTGTACGATGTTTAAAGGGAAGCATTGTGTTTTTTTTTTGTTGTCGTACTTTAACGAGCTCATCAGATCACGAAGGCCTCGTTTGTTTACTCTATACAAGACCAGAAAATCAAGATGTGCGACACGTATACCCGGCTGCCCGCCACAACCTAGACAAAGGCCACCTCGCTTTCACTACAAACTGCGTGGCCCAAGAACAAGTGAAAGCCCAAAGTCTCTCGAGCTGCAATTTTAAGGGTGGATGAGCGAAGCGCAGCAGCTCCCATCAAAAAGGAGTCGTGCAGTGCTAGGCAAGTTTACAAGATATATAGTATTAATATTACTATATTGCTGCGGCCCACGCCACCAAAGTAGCAGCCCCTCCCCCCCCCCCCCCCCATGCGTTTTAAACTGTACGTCTGAGGAAAATATTATGCGAGGCAGATAAAGACTTCGCGTGGTGCGTGCCGCGGTAATGCTGGTCATCACCTTTTTTTTTCGCGCATGTTTTGACATTTTCTCCACCTCGTATTTTACTTTTTTTGTACGCTAATGTACAGTGGAGTACCTGAAAATGATGGAGACCGTGTTAGGGAATTAATTGACCAATTTTTAAAAATCCTGACCCCCCCAACTCGAACCTATCGGCTATACTTCAAAGGAAACTACTATTCTTTCGCATCCATTTTCACAGTTTGTTTCAATGCAATACCCGAATTTCCGCGATCGCCATCATGATTTTGACCGCCTCCCTGACACGCTGATTGTGCACGCAGTGGTCGCGGACAAGTTTGTATGTACAGTATCTTTGTAAGCTATCTCTGTTTGCAGGTAAGTGCTTGGCTATGGCACTTACCCGGAATGAAGTTACACCTGAAGACGCAAATATCACCGAGTTTCTTCAACTAGTTTTTTGTTGTTGTTAATCCGCGCCAGCCAAACACGCCGGTACTTTTCGGAAAGTCACAATTGGTGTTCTCAATTTTAGGTAATAACTTTCGGTGAAGAAACACCCCGAAGCTCTGCTCCCTCTTCGGGTACTGCTAAATCAACTTGCCTCACTAGGAGCCCTCAAACTTGCATCGTGAGGCAAAACTGAACGGGTGCAAGCCCGAGGAGACAACACGTACGGCAGCGGTAGGCGACGGAGTCGGTAGGTACCCGCTGTTGCGACACCGGGTCTCAGTTTGGTAGCGGGCCCCCGTACTAGCTAGGACCCATCGTCGAACAAGTCAGATGAGGTGCTTGTAATAACGACAACAATTTATTTGCATGTTTAGTAACTGAGTATTCGAAAAGAGTTGATCAAGTAGAAATCAAGAACTGTACATGAAAACTGTTGAACTTTAAAATATACAAAAAGACTTCCGCTTATATAGCGCCGCGTTGCCAACCCTGGGCGCATTATCCGCGGCTATAGTGTACTAGATTAGGGGTAGTGGTCCGAGGAGCGGCCCCGCGGTGAAGCGTTTCTCCCAGACATACACAGGTGGCGCCACTGCGCCTTTCACCTGGGCACTTCTGCGCGCATTCGCGTCGGATGAATTCTTTCGCACGCCTGAGAAACAGCGTGTTCTCTAACAGAAAAGATTAGAAGGACGGGGAAATGAACAGAATCGCTTCCTTTTTTTTTTCGTTCCGCAAGAACGCAAATTCTAATTAATCTGTTAAGTACACCCGTGAGCAAAAGTATACGGACCATGGGAGCGCGTGCCGAAATCGCTGTCTACGCCATTTGTTCGCGAGCCGTCTGCTGTCGAGAGTATTTCTCTGGCGAATTCCGTTAGAGTAATGCTCTCGAAAGCAAACTGCTCGCAAATAAACGGCTTAGACAGTGTCTATTAAACAACAAAACAAAACGAGTGCGGCAGGCGCTCCCGTGGTCCGTATTCTTTTGCTCACGGGTACAGTGTCTGAACTAGCGCCGGTGGTGCAGCTGGATGATCGAAACTTCCATTAAAAATAACGCACGTAATGCGCGCGCACTCTTTGTGACAATATAAGCGTGGTTTGACAGAAAGCAGTTTATTTACATACATATACACAAAAATTCAATGATTTAAGGGTCCTGAACCAAACATCTCAGGAGAAATGAACTATGTACTCCTGCTCAGTTTCAGGTGTTTTGCCCTTTGCCTTTTTGTGGCATTGGAGCTGTTGATGCCTTTCACTAGGAAATGGAGGCGCGTGAGAATGCAGAATGACACAATTTTCTCACTCACTTCTTTACCATGCTCAACGCAGCCTACAGAATTCCTGGGTAAAAAGTTTGCCTTCACTTGCGAGAGAACATCACAAACACTGTTCGCGTGCAATTCGCTCAAGCTAAAGCATTCAGTGAAAATGTTCTCTAGACAGGTGATGAAGTTGTGCAGCTCT